GAGTGGCATGGGACACAAGGACTTGAGCTTAAAGGGCTGCTTGTGTAGGACAGCTAGCCCTGTGTCATTGTTGTGAGGCTGAGTGCTGCTGTGCTCTACCTGACGGGAAAAGCACAGCAGGGCTCTCAAATCCTGCACAGGTGGGTGGGAAAAGCATCCGTGCCGCATGTGAGAATTCCCCTGCATCATATTTCGGGCATGTGAGTTTGTTTCTTACAGCTTTGTTGAAATAAGAGTTCATGTTCACACACCATGGGGGTCGGCAGCTTCTCTGCACTGTCTCTACAGAGATCTCTGTGCAGTCACCACCTGGGCTAGGTTGGGTGTCCCCATAACATGATAACCCTAGATTGCCCATATGCAGCTCAGAGGTCCAGAGGCAGGTGTTCTAGAGAGAGCCATTCCTGAATCCCCTCTTCCTCCTCCTCCTCCACTCACATACACCGCCAGGTCCTGTCATTTTACAGCACAGTAACTCGGATCTGCCTCTATTCTTCCACATACACCCCCTGCCCCAGGTCCCATTTTGTCTCACCAGACCCCTGGCACAGCTCCTCACTGCAGGTCTGCTTTTCTCTCACTCCCAGCCACTGTTTCTTCCCACACAACATCCAGAAGATGGTCTCAAAATGAAAGTTGGGTCGCAGGAGTCCCCTGTGGGGCCAGAGAGCCTCGGTGAACCTGCAAGGCTAGAGGGAGTGGCCGGTGGGTGGTTTGAGGGGCTGGTGCAAGTACCTTTTTAGAATATAAATATGGGTCGTCAACAGATACTGTTTAGGGAAAGGAGCCTTTCTGCACTCCCTCCCAAAGCAGGTCTCTCCAGGTCTGCAGCCAGAGCCAAGGCCAGGACCCCAGCCGGCTGGTGAGCCTGCCGGGATGTGCCCACAGGCACCTGCCCCTTCCCAGGCTTGGAGTGTGCTCCTTCGGGGCCCCACCTTGGTGGCTCTTGGGTTCCTGGCTGCTCATCACAGAGAGAAGGCAGTGCCTTTGAACCCAGGGAATGTGCGTTCTGTGGGCCCCCGTATTTCCATCAGGCTTCCACAACCCTTCCTCTGTTCCAGAAAGCCTTGGAATCCACCCCCAGGAGTCGCCTCTCATGGGTCAACTCCCACTTATGTGCGCCCTGTCTTCAGCAAAGCTTACTTGTTTTTGTGTGTGTGATTTGTGCAAATATTGGATTTTTTTTTTAGAAAAAAAAAACAACAGGAAATGACCCTTCTAGTCTGTTTGGAAAACAGCTTGTAGCTGTAATGGAATCTGAGCAATGAGAACTAATAGCTGCGGAACAGTCGTAGGACCCTTGGCAGAGGCTGCAGCCTCTGCAGTTCACAAAGCTGGGAGAAAACGAAAACCCAAGGGAGGAGCAGCTTCCTGTGGAGGAACCTGACAGCCCAGAGCAAGCACCTGCAGGTGCTGGGCCGCTGACCCTAGGCCCAAGAGGTCTGGGGCAAAGCCCAGGGCAGGGCATTCAGGGTCAGCCCAAGTGTATGCAGCTGCCACAGGGGCACCAGGACCTCCTGTGTGGGAGAGAGGGACAGAGCCTACCTCTCCAGCACCCAGGGATCATTCGAATTTTAGTGTATGTGCTGCCGAAGCGAGCACAGCACCCAGGAATCGAGCCAAGACAGGAGATGGCTCATTACTCTCACTCACCTTGTCTTTTGGCTCTGCCTGGATCATGCCTTGTTCAGCCCTATCTATAGATTTCAGCTCCAAGTCACCTCCTCCAGGAAGCCTTCCCTAGCTATATGACCTCTAAAACCCAACCACCTGCAAGCTGAGAACCCTCCCCTGTTCTGTGGTACATGTCCACCTTCACAGCGTGTCATTGACTTAGGATTTTATAAATGGTGCTGGACTGAACATTTCTGTATACTTGTCTTCATGCACTGTTGGTTATTTTCTTAGAATAAAATGCCACAAACTGGCTTAGTGGCTCAAGGACACGATAGATCTGTGGATCTCAGCAGAGAAGTAGGGGAATGACCCTTTCTGACAGGACATCTGGTGCTGTGGTAAAGATCGGGGGTCGTGAGGAGGACGCTTGATGCAGAAGAATGAAACTGAGTATGCTGCGGACGAGAGACCTCCCAGCTCATCTGCCCGGTTTCCTGGGCAGCAGCACAGCCAGAACACCTCAGCTCCATGGGCGTCTTCCAGAACTGAGCCTTGAGCTTGGCACAGTTCCTCCCTGTACCCTGGGTGTCTGGCACTGGGCAGCTTGGAAGGTCAAGCAGGCCCAGGGGTTGGGGCAGAGCCCTGGGGAAGCTGTTCCCACAGGAAGTCTGTCTTGCAGATGGAGCCAGTCACCCCATGTGGCATGGTGTCAGGTGCCAGAGATCCAGGCTGAGTGCCTGTGCGGTCTTGGGGCACCAGGAGACCTGACAGGGAGTCACTCCTCTGGGTAGGCAGGGCAGACCAAGAGTGTGTGATAGGACAGGCAGGCATCCTGTGAGCATCTCTAGGGCTCCTCCTTCCGAGCGCCTGTGGGCAGCGGCGGCCTGAGCAGTGTTGGCCCAGTGGCTTCTAGCACCCCTGCTCTCATTGGAGGAAACCGACACCCGGTAGGCAGGGCGGCCTGTTGGGGTCTGTCTGTTCCCAGAGGTGTGTGGTGTGGAGCATGAGCCTAGCAGAGCCTGGGTTATGACCCTACCTCATAGTCAGACACAAGTGCCTGCTGGCTGTCACCTCAGCCTCCCCTGCTTCATACCTCTCAGGTAGAAGGCAGTAGTGAGACTGAGCCTCAGAAGGAGCCACTTCTGGAGTTTCTCAAACTTCAGTTAGGACAGCCTAGTCAGGGCAACTGCTTTCAAGGCCACTGGGGAAGACAGCCTGCGCCACCTGCTGAAGGCAGGGGGAATTGCCTTAGAGTTCTGGCTTTACCTTTATTTTCCAGGTGAGGGAGCAGTCCTAGAGAAGAGCAGGGTTTTGCCTAAGGTTCAGTAGCTGGGCTTTTTTATGTTTTGTTTTTAATCTTTATTTTCATCTTAAAGGCAGGGAATGCGAGCAGACAAGCCATCTCCTACCCGCTGGTTTACTCCTCCAGAGATTGCAGTGGACAGGGCTGGGCCAGGCTAAAACCAGCAACTCCATTCTGGTCTCCCACTGGGTGGTACCTTCCCAAGTGCATTAGTGGGGGGCAGCCAAAACTCAAACCTGCACTCAGGTCTGGGATGCTGGCGACACCAGCAGGGCTTAACTTGCTGTGCTACAATGCCTGTGCCAAGAGTTGAAGTTTAAGCATACATGTACTAGTCTTACCTCCTTGTTTCCCAGCATCGCGCCCCCGCATCTGATCTTTAAATGCTTCCATTTTTCTCCCTTCGTTTTGTTTGGTTTTATTTGAAAAGAAAAGAGAGCAAGAGAGCTCTTCCATCTGCTGGTTTCCTGCCCAGATGCCCACGACAGTTGGGGCTGGGCCAGGCCAGCACTCCATCTGGGTCTCCCACATGGGTGACAAGAATCCAAGGACTTGAGCCCCATGTTGTTGCCTGTAAGGGTGCAGGTTAGGAGGAGGCTGACTTGGATCCCAGGCTTGAACTTCACCAACAGCCCCTGCCTCCCCCGATTCATTCTTTAGGTGTGTCTTCTGAGCTGGGTGTTGTGGGGACCATGGGCCCACCCTGCATGCTGGTCACCTTTTCCTTACCTCCTCCTCACCCCTCATCTCTACTCCTTCCCCTGAGTGCATCCTCCTGACGATGTCAGCCCTGCTCTTGGGGGCATTTGGGGAGCACAGCAGTGGCTCGATCTTTAGAAACACCATAATGCCCCACTCTACTTCAGAGTAGCCTTTCAGTAATAAAGTAACAATGTCTTGCCAGCAAGAGCACAGTGAACGGACATTAGGTGCTGGTAGTGGGAACAGAAATTGGAACAGTACTCAGTTTACAAGTCTTTTACAAAGATTTATTTGAAACTTGGAAAGGAAGAAAGATCTTCTCTTCACTGGTTCACTCCTCAGGTACGTAACAGCTAGGCCCGGACTGAAGCCAGGAGCCTCGGGGGGGGGGGGGCATAAGCCCAAGCACTTGGTTCACCCTGGCCTGCTTTTCCCAGGCCATTAGCAGGGAGCTGGACCAGAAGAGCTAGGACACAAACTAGCAGGCATAGGGGGTGCTGGCATTGCAGGCGGAGGCTTCATGGACTACATCACAACAGTAGCCCCTGAATTTATAATTAATGCCAATTGGCATTCTAAATCACACTCTGCCATTTGGGAAGGCAACTTGGAAATGAGTCAAAGATCTAAAAATTTTCATCTGGGAATTTGAGGCTCCTCTAAGGAAAGAATTAGGGGGTGGGCACAGATTTTTAAAATTTTTACTGGATTTCAGATATGCAGAGGGGAAGATCTGATGATTCACTCCCCAGGTGGCCGCAACTGCTGGGGCTGAGCCGATCCAAAGCCAGGAGCTTGGAGCTTCTTCTGGGTCTCCCATCGGGGTGTAGAGTTCCAAGGCTTTGGGCTGTCATCGACTGCTTTCTCAGGCCACCAGCAGGGAGCTGGATGGGAAGTGGGGGCCATTGAGATTAGAACCAGCGTCCATATGGGATCCTCATGCATGCAAGGTGAAGATTTTAGCTGCTAGGCTACGGCGCTGGGACTTGTGACTGTAGGGGTTGCACCTGCCAGTGGCCACCTGTGGTGCCAAGCAGTATTTCTGCTTGGAGAGCAGATGTGTGTGACAGCCACAGTTTTCATCTGGGTACTGTTGTCCTTTGTACTTTGCTAGACAACCGTTTCAGACTTCCATGCTGGGTGCGCTGACCTTACCTCCGCCCTCCTGTCCCCGCAGGCCTGCGAAACGATGCAACAGGCGTGATGGAGGTCGAGTCCTCCTACTCTGACTTCATCTCCTGCGACCGCACAGGCCGCCGGAATGCGGTACCCGACATCCAGGGCGACTCCGAGGCTGTGAGCGTGAGGAAATTGGCCGGAGACATGGGCGAGCTGGCCCTCGAGGGGACAGGTGAGAGGTGGCAGGGTTGTTCCCGTGCTGGCACCAGGCTGACTGTCTCTGCATTACTCAGCTTGTCTGTGACGTGTGCAGAGTCTGCTGGTGTCCCAGGCAAGTTCTCACTGGTCTCACTAGGGACCCAACAAGCACATGGCCAGGGCTCTGCTCACAGCAGGGGGGAGGTGTGGAGGAAACAAACACACGCCACTCAGCATCACCCAACACAGCCTGCTCTACCCAGATCCTTTCCTGCCTGCTCCCAGCACCTGCCATGCTGTCCCAAGTGGGCTTCCAGCCGGTCTTCCCTATGTAACCCCAGTCCCCATCCAAAAATGACTGAAAACAGGTAAGACCTGGTAGCGGGTAGGCCCCACCCTTCACGTTATTTGGGAACAAACTGTAGCCAGAGGAGTTGGGCAGCTTGTGTAGTCACTTTGGCCCTCTGTTCGTGCTGGTCGAGCCCCCGCTGGGCCTTAGCACAGCACCCCCAAGCTCTGTGGCACTCACTTCTGCCCTGCCCTCTGCCTGCAGTCGCACTTGCATGCGGCCTCTCCCGCCCAGGGTCTGCTCTCGAGCCCCCCGTGCCTGGTAGTGTTTGGTACTTGGTAAGGCAGCCTGGGCTCTGGTTACTCACTGACTGACCACATGGCCAGCTCCCAGCTGTGCCACCAGGCATGCTGCCATGGTGTGCTCTTGGCTGGCATCCCCAGACTTCCATCTCCTACCCCAGCACTGGTATGGCTCGTCCACCGACCCAAGCCCTCCTGGTGTACATTTCCTGACTCAGGAGCTTGGATCCTCTGGTCACATGGCCTTTACCTGCCAGAAACTAAAGCAGCCAAGGGAGAGTCCAGATGAGAGTGACCAGCCTCGGCACCTTCCCCAGGCAGGGCCGAGGCTGAGGGAATAGAGTTGCCAGTGCCACCCTAGCTCTTCTGACCCACAGCCTCATTTGGGCCCAAGGCACTGCAAGGGAACCCATCCTGGCTGCCTGGAAGGCTCAGCCTGGACCTGCGGAGCCCTAGCCACGATTACGCATATTTCTGGACTTTGCCTAAAGCTGAGAGAAGCAGCAGGCGAGCCCGGAGGCCAGGTTGGCCTTGAGGAAGCCTTACCACAACCAGATGTCACACACACAGCAGCTGCACCCACAGGGGCTACATGGAGTATCACTGTCCCCTCTAGCTCGGGAAGCAGAGTACAGGGGGGTGGAGTGGCTTCCCCAGGGCCTCGCAGGAAGAAAGTGGCAGTGCTCACTGGGGAAGTTCAGACCTTTCCCACTTGTGGGGCACCACTGCCACCCAAGTCCTAAGATTGCTGCCAGGGCAAATCAAGTGCTGAGGTGGTACCAGCAGAACCCTGGTGAGTGTTGCTTCTGGGAAGGGTCACCACCTGGGGCAGCCAACAGGACTCTGTCCAGCACTAGGTCTCATGGGACGAGTGCACTGAGCCCTGACTTTGCTGTTAACATGACCCTGTCTGCCCAGCTGCTCGGGGGGACAGGCAGAAAAGAAGGAGGGGGCGGAGGCTGGCAATAGCACCCACTCCTGCTCGGCCTGGTTCCATCTCTGTACTGTCTTAACAGGACAATCACTTGGCCGAGTCCCCCATTGCACGCTGGGCGGCTGGAACTGCCCTCTCGTTCCAGGAGCCTATACCTGCTGCTTTAGCAGCCACCCTCAGCCTCTGGCCTTGAGCTGCCTGTTAATTATGCTATTGTCATTGCATGTGTTTCCCCTAGGGATGCACACGCTGCTCCAGGCCAGACTAGGTTCCCTGGGGCTTAGCTCCCTTGATCATGTCTGGGCCCAGGAAAATCTGTTGCTCTCTCACCTTTCCAGCAGGACAGGGGGAGGCCAACACCCCCGACAAGGAAGCCAGCAGCCCGCCCGAGAGCAGCGACAGCGCCACTTCATCCTGAGCCTGACATTGTCCAAGGCAGCTGGAAGAGAGGACTGCCCCCTCCTGGACTGGGGGCCCTGGCCCAACAGCCTCTTCTCTGAGCCCCATGCCCCAGGCCAGACCGAGGGGCCTCCGTGGCCCCTCCTCAGGACAACCCTCTGTCGGCACCCACCATCTCTTCCCCCGGCCCAGGTACGCTCCCCCAGGTACCGCAACCACGGGATGGCATGTAGTCGATGGGCACCCTGCTCAGGGGCTTGGCCTGCCCCCAGGGTGGCTTGAGGAAGGACCTCATCCCAACAGCCCCTCTCCAGCTCTAATCTTCCAGGTCAATGCCTTCTTGTCCCTTTTTTAAACACTTTTAACCTTTTTAAAAACAGTAAGCCTTTTTTCAGCAGAGCAGGCAGGAACTGACAATTTAGTCACTTTTTAAAATCCTCTTTAAGCTAAACTGCCATCCCGAGGAGCCTCACAATGCCATTTTCAGGGAGGCGATTTTGGCTGAAAACCCTCCAACTGGCTGTTCACCCCCTACCCTGTCAGCGATGCTGAGGCCCCAGGAAATAAACGCTCTTGACGTGTATGAGCGGCCACTGGGAGTCTCTTCTCTCAACAGCCAGAGTGGGGCTGGGCTTCATGTCCCACCACCACCACCACCGAGCGTGCCTTTATCGGGCCTCCAGTGCCACCCAAGCCTCTGAACCGTGCTCTGAGATGAAGGTGCTGGAGGAAGCTGCTTCTGACATAGGAACCCCTTTAAAACCTAGGGACCCAGTGTTAGGAGTGCTGCCATCCCCTGCCCAGCCAGGACCTGGTGGCTCAGCAGGCTGCCCACCCATAAAGGCCCTAGGGTTCCATCCCTTCCCCACACCAGCCCACCTGACATTACAGCACACATGACACCAGCCACTTGCCTCTTTATTGGGCACCAGATGTCTGCCTGTATCCCCTCAGGCAGTTTCCATCCACGCTACTGGCAGGAGCCCGGTCCCCGCCTGGGGATGGTCAGAGGCGAGACACAGCCACTGGGCTCCTAGGCTCACAGCTTTCCTGAATGAATGAGGGAGAGTGTTATTGCTCTGTCCTCACAGGGTCCCACCCTGTCCACCAGGTCAGGTCAGAAGCAGGGCCTAGTAAATGTCACCGAATTCCAAACCCAGATGGCGAGACTAAGGATCAGAGCAGTTGAACAGCTGGCCAAGGCTGCACAGCACAGAAAGACCTAGGCCCTTCTGCCCTTGGCTTTGGGCAGGCTTTCTGAAAGCTTCCCCTAGTCCCCTCCCAGGACAATCAGCCAGGACCCACCCTCAGGGAGTTGTCACATGCAGTGCTGCAGGAACCTACCGGCAGAGGCTGATGAAGAAAGCCCGTAGGCTTTGTAGAGTTGGCTCAGGAGCTCCTGCTTCTCATTTTCCGGGAGGAAGCTGGACCTGGCTGCATTGATGTTCTGGAAGGACCAGGAAGGCAGGGAGTAAGGGAGGGAGCCCACAGCCATCTACTGACCACAGGCAGCCAAGCTCCAAGGAGGAGGGACGGGAGAAAGCTGCAGAGCGAGAGGTGGGGTGGGGGGCAAGGGAGACACCCCAAGGGGCTGGTGCAGCCCAACAAGTATACAGAAGATAGTCCGCTGCACCTGCTTTGCTGGGGCAAGGCTGCAGTTCCCACTAACTGCTTTGAGGGTGAACCTGGGTCTGGCTATGGGTGCAAAACTTGCACTCACTCTAGGATTGGTTTTGCTTGAGTCATAGCAGACACCCTCCACCCCCATTTATCTGGGTCAAGGCCAACCCAGCTCCCAGCCACTCACCACTCTCTGAAACTCCTCTTCAGTAAAGCCCATATCCCGTTTGATCATCTGGTAATCTGTGTCCAGGGTAGATTTGAAGATGAGTGGATCATCCGTGTTAATTGAGTAGTTGGCTACGTCATTTTTAAACCTGGAGTCGAGGGTGAGGGGAGAGGAAGAGAACCTTCCATAAACACTCAATCCTTGCCAACTCTAACCGTCCCTGATCACCTTGGCAACCTAGGGGGCCCTGAAAGATCTCGGCTAGGTACAAAGGAGGAAGCAGGTAACTTGTGTAAGACCAGCTAACTAGCAACTCGGACCTGCCTTGGGGATCAGAGAGTGGCAGGACAGCTACTCAGGAGCTAGGGGACCTCAGCCAGGCCCTACGGCATTGGGCAGGCACATCAGGCTTCCTGTTCACAAGATGAGAACAGCAGCCTGCAGTCAGATTTTGAATCTCAAGAGAACCAGTGTCTCTGGTGTCCAAACCCCGAGTTTCCTCCGACCCCTGGCTTTCCCGGAACAAAACCAGACAGGCCACAGAGGACCTGGCCTCACCGAACCACTGCATGCTGCGTTTCCGGCTTCCAGGCCCCAGTGAGGTAGCTGGACCAGGGGCAGACCTGGAAGAGCAGGGGTGTGGCTGGCACAACAACCCCAGGCCCCACTGCCCCCTCGTGTCCCAGGACTGGGGTTATCCTTGCTGCCTGTACCTCCAGCCCCTCCCCACCCCAGCGTGGAGGGGGCCCTCACCTCGAAGTGCATGTCCTGTTGCCGCAGCCTGCTGTAGAGCGCCTCGTCCTCCAGGGTATGGTAGCCGTGGCCCAGCCTTTCGGTCTTGAGGATGTCCACAGCCTGTGGAGGAACAGAGGGGAGTCAGGTGTGGCAGGCTGATGGCTGGGATGAAGGGGCCTGTAGCCAGCCCACTCCTTACCTGCTGCACCACCTCGGCCGAGCCCACCTCCCCAGCGTGGACAGTGCGGTGGACACCGCTCCTCACAGCCTCCTGGAAAGGGAAGGGCCAGGTAAGAGGGGGCCCCCGGGTTTGCCAGACACTTGAGTCCCTGTAGCTCTGGAGCATCCTCACCCTCCCCTGGGTCGAGCCTTCCCCTGTGCCCCCATCTTTCCCTAAGGAGGAGCTACCGGTGCTTCGGGTGCTGGACAAAAAGGTTCATGCACAGTGATGTGTATGCGTAACCATGGTAATAGCCTTCTGATGGGGGCAGGGCTCAGAGAAGCTGGGTCATGTAACCATGGTCAAACAGCAAGTGCAGGACCAAGCTCTGACCCAGGCGGTGAGAGCCTCTTGCTCTGCCCCTTCCACAGGAAGCAGAAGCACTGGAGGAGAGCATGGACGGGCTGCCCAACAGAGGCAGCAGGCCCAGAGAGTCTTGCCCAGGTCACACAGCACAGCCACTGCCATGTGACCAGCTTCTCGGCACAAGCCCACTGGGAACTTGGGGACAGGCCTCACACACCGGTCCTGGTGGGAGACAAACTACCTGTAGCAGCCTCACGCCTCCAAGGACCCACCTCATACGCCTCTCTGTGTCCGTTAAAGAGGCTACTTCCGGGAATGGTCTCGTCCCCCGCCAGGTCAATGGCCACCACCGTCTGATCCCGGTACTTCTTACACAGCTCCACCACTTCCGGGGACCACTCTGCACAAGACACCCAGCAGGGTCATCAGCAGCATGGCCTAGCCCATTCGGCCCTACGTATACCAAGGCCAGCAACTGGCAGAACCCTCCTCTCTCCCCAGCTCTCACTTTCAGGTCCTGATGCTTGTCCAAACCTCACAGCCTTTGACACATTGTCCCACCTGTAGTCTCAGCACACACACCCCCGCCCCCGCAGTGGGAGTGCCATGCAAGCTGCTGTCTCGGCAAGGCTCTGCAAGGCATGGGTGCACCCAGTGCTCAGGGCCTAGCCTGGTGGACAGCAGAGGCCCTGCCAGCATGCTGGATGCTCACAACTATCCTTGGGTAGGCAGTTGAGGCTGTCGAAGGCCACACAGAGCAGAGCACATGTGCTAATCCCCTCCCGCATGTCTTAACCAGGAGAAGACATGATGGTGGCAAGAATGAGGGACAGAGGGCCCTCTGCAGTAGGGAGCAGGAGACTTCGTGTACTACTGCCTTAGTGTTCCAGTCTGTCAAATGGGAATCAATGAAGGCAGCCCTGCCTCACCAGCTGCCACGGGGAGATGGCAAGTGCATGCAGCAGGCCTGCAGTGGCCACAAGCCCCAGGCCTGGGTGCTGATGGGGTCTGGGGGATCCAAACAGGGAGTGACAACATGGAAGGGGGTCTAGCGAGGGCATGCAGCACCTGGAGGTGAGGTTGGCATCGTCAACAGTCCCAGAGGCCAGGCAAGACGGGGCCAGCAGGGGGGACCTGGTCCCCAGCTTCTCTGGGTAGGATTGGGAGTCGGGATTTTCTCAATTCAGGCACCTTTGGTTTTGACCTTCCTGATAGCTTCAGGATGCCCTAGGATCCTGCTGATGGGCTTGTGGGATACCCCAGGGATAGTGACGGCAGGGCCAGCCCTAGCAGGCAGGGCTGCCCTCCTCCTCACCAGGCTGGTGGCGCATGCAGCACAAGATGGAGCGCACCTTGACCCCGAAGTCTCGCTGCCCCTCCTGTAGGCCCTGGTTCACCAGCATCACCACCTCGTCCGGAGTGAGGTCACCTCTAAGTGGGGACAGGGAGAGGGCTAGGCCTCAGCACCCCTTTCCTCAATCCCACTGGGCACCAAGAAGACCACCAACCTTGGCACTCCTCTCCCTCAGGGCATCAGGCACCTACTGAGTCCCATATAGCCCAGCAGCATGACCCACCTTACACCAGCACCAGAATCAGCTCTGGGGAAGAGGGACAATGGCTTTGCCTAGAAGCCTAAGGGGTCCCAGTGGTGACTGCCAAGGCAGTGTGTCCAGGGCTGCAGGTCACAAAACCTAGCCTAATCCTTTGCCCCAGACTCCTCCTGGGGCCCCCTGCCTGGTCAGGGAACAAGTCTGGGAGGTCCTCTCGGGATCTGCCCCTCCCTCAAGGCTCAGTGGGGCCACAGGGTTGTCACTCACTCGGCTTGGTTCCAGGGGATTGGCTGCACCTTTGAGTTGGCCAGCAGGTGTGGGCTGTAGCGCACCTCCACATACACCACCTTCTCCTTGGCCTTCATCTCCACAAACTCATAGGCGATTCTTTTGATGGCCTCCCGGGAGCCCCTGGGAAGGAAGAGCGCACTTAGGGATGGCTTCCCTGTCTCCTCGGAAGCTCCAGGAACAAGCAAGCCTGTCTTTACCTGCAGAGTCAAGCAACTTGCAGCCCCTGGCATCTGCAGGGTAAGACCCTAGACATGCTATGTCCCACGGGCACTGCTTGCATGACGCCGATTTTAGCTTCACCCTGGCCAGCTTTAACTGCTGCCCCTGCTCCAGGCTCACCCATGCAACACCAGTTCACACAGCTAAGGCTGTTAGAGTCCAGCAAAGTACACCACTCCTCTTCCAACTCCACAGAGCAGCCCACCTGGGCCAGCTTCTGCAGCTTCTGCAGCTTCTGGCGTCCTTGCTTTGAAGACCCTGGTACCCGCCCTTCCCCAACCCATCCTCCGCTGGGCCAGCTCCCCTAGCCACCAGCCTCCGCCCCTTTCCTGGGCTTGGCCTTCCTCTGTGGCCCTCCTCGCCACTTAATCTAGTGTAGGGTTCCGGTCTTGGCCATTTCCCATGTCTCGTGGGGATACAATTTTCCAGAGGCCAGCGCTTCTCAACCGCCTTGCCGATGACCAGATCTTTGGGGCTGGCAGGGCAGAGGAGTAAGAGGGAAGGATGTGGATTCTTCCTGAGGGACTGGCCTTGTGATGAGTTTGTGGACCTGAACCCTTGCTCCCCACACTTGCCTGCTGTAACCTCAGGTTGGCCGCTCACATGACACCTGTGGCAGAGGGTGACGGTGAGGGCAGATGAGTCACACCAGATGCTCACCTAGGCCACTGCACAGAGCAGACATGCTGCCACCTCATGCCGGCTCCAGGTCCCAGCCCTCACGACAGGGTGGAGACGGAGAATGCCCTGCCCTGGGGAAATAGCCCATTATCAGGAGTGAGCCTTCCAGGCACCAAGAGGTAGAAGATGGACACACCCTGCTTCTCACCCCGGCCTCAGCCTGACCTCCCAGGGACAAGAGCACTATTGTGCTCTGGATGCCTGACTACACCACTTATGGTATACACCTCATGGCCAAGGAGCTTGGTCCTTCCTTGCTTCATGGGATCTGTGATGTCCTGGGCATTGAGGGTGAAGTGGACAGACAAGACCCCTACCTTTCAGAAGCCCACCTTCCAGCGAGAAGGGCAGGCAAGTGAACACACAGGATGCCTCCCAGATGGCCCATGGAGAGGGGAGCCCAGAGCTGAGTCTCTGGTTGATACAAACACACCTGAAGCCATGCAATCTTCCTGAGACCCACAGGCTTCCCATGTGCTTTTTTGAAGAACCTCACCTAGGCAGTCAGAAGTTCCAGGAATGTGAACCAAGCATGAGAAGTGGTTGCAAAGGGGCCCTGAGCAGAGATTGAGCAGGTGGGGAGGCCCCATGCTTCGGCTGCCTGGTATCCAGGAGGCAAGGACCTCGAGCTCAGGCCCTGGGTGCCCAACTGAGCTCTCCTCAGTACTGCCAGCCTGGGGCAGGGAACCACTGTTACTGCATTGATCGACTTGGTAGAGGAAGAGGAGCAGACAGAGCTCATCCACCAGCACATTCCCCAAATGCCTCCTGTGGCTGGGGCCAAAGTATGAAGTAATCAGGTCTTTTGTGTAGGTGGCAGGTACCTGAATACTTGAGCCTTCTTTGATGCCTCCCAGGAACTGATTAACAGGAAGCTAGAGGCAGGTGCCAGAGCAGGGACTCAAAACCAAGTTTTTGGACGTGGGCTGCAAGCGCCTTCATTCTCCATGCCTGCCTCCAAGCCTCGTCAGTCCCTAGGAAAATGTCCCCACCCCAAACTTGGGAAGATGAGCTGCAGAGCCTCAGCCTTCCCATTTTGCCCAGCCCATGCCAGCTGAGGCCCACAGAAACTTCATCCAGTTCACAGACTCCATAAAAGACTCTGACTGGACAGAATCCATGTGCCTGACGCACACATTCTGGGGCTTCTCAAGCTTATAGAAAATGAAATCATAAAGCTATTTTGGCACAAAATTTGGAAATCAATGCAAAGTTATCCACGAACTTCCTTGGGGAATCTGCTTATGAATGGATTTCAAGATTTGGGGCATTAAAAGTTTTATCTTGTAACAAATGTGATGATCCACTCATGTTACTTATTGTAAAAGGAAAAGAGTGCTCCCATCTGTTGGTTCACTCCAACGCTTGCCACAGCCATGGCTGGGTTAGGCCAGAATAAAGAGCTGTAACCTCAGTCCGGGTCTCCCAGATGAGTGGGTGTCAGGGACCACACCACACAAGGCCATCCCTTGCTGCCTCGCAGGATGCATATTTTCCAGAGGAAGCTAGACTGAGGAGTGGAGCTGGGCCTAGAACCTGGGCAGTCGAATACAGGATGCTGTGTCCCACACAGGGTTCTTATCCACTGTGCCCAGCACCTGCTGCTAACTCATCTCACTCCATTTCTTATCAACCTGCTGAATTGCCTTTGAGGCAGTTGCTGTGCACACTGCACCCTGTCTTCAGAGAGGGAATCTAGGATTGGCTTGGGAGTGCTCCACAGTAAGAAGGGGACCTGGGACTGCCAGCCACACGCTGCAGGCCTGGAGGGCAGGGTGACTCACGCAATGGCAGGCATGTAGTAGTCGAACTTGGCGAGGAAGCCGGGGAGTGAGAGCGGTTGGTCCATGCCGATGATGTTCTGCAGCTCCTCCACTGTGTCAGCCGGCAGCTTGATCCCCCTTTGCCTGCAGGCAAATAGAGGGTGGGATGACACCATGGTCGGGCCTGATGGGAGCAGGGCCTGGCCCTGGAGGAAGTGGAGGGGCAGGAAAGGTGAGCAGGAAAGCATAGGCCTGGGGAGGAGAGGGAGCCACAGCCAAGTCCGCCAGCCTCAGGAGGTAGCTATGTGGCATTCACCCCATGTTTCTGCCCTTCCCCTGGGGACAGGGAGCATACCAGGGCCAGGCCGTGCCCCCTGGGAGCAGTCAGAGGCTGGGGTTCCAAGGGGCGGTACCACAGCATCACAATTCCCGGCACCAGGACATCCTCCCGCGCCCTGCTCTGGCCAGCACATCAGAGCATCCCATCCCCCTCGCTCCAGCGTGCTCCAAGGTACTTCACATCCAGCTCACAGCCTCTGCTTGGCTCAGTCTCTTCTCCCCCGGTGAGGTCTCTGCCTCCCTTCCCCTCCCAGCTACAGGGAGTCAGGTGCAAAGTGGCTTGCTCCCTGCTTGCTTCACACTCCCCTGGTCCCCTTCTCATCTCAGGGCAGGGCTAGGATGTATATATGTGTGTCAGGGAGACCGGGGAGAGGTCGCTCCAGGCCTCAGTTTCCCCAGTTGTGAGAGCGAAAGAATTTTATTTGAGAACAAGGGACAGGCAGAAAGCACTGGGGAGAAGGGGACACAGAACAAAGACAAACTTGAGCCAACCCACCTGAAACAGGCCCCTCAAAGAGGTGAGAAGACGAGACAGGCAGGGCAAAGGAAGGCAGGGGAGGGTGAGAGCGAAGGAGGCCTGCAGAGAGGAGAATGAGAGGAAGGTGGTGAAGACAGGAGCAGGCCAAGAACCAGGAGACTAAACTGTAGGCTGGATGCTGCTCATTCCAAAGTCAAGGACAAATATTAGAAAGGAAGAAACTGTCAAAGCAGAAGTGGGTGGTCCAGGTCACTGCTAGCTTCTGTTGCAACACTAATGCTTCCTCCATAAGCACCTGTGTGCCCTGTCCCCCAGGTGTCTCCTTCCCCCTCCTGGGAGCCCCAGTCCATCTGGGTGCCCAGAAGAGACCGCAAAAGGCCCTTGGTGCCACTATGGAATGTCCCCTCCCAGTCCCTGCAAGCATTGAGGAGAAAGGTCCCCACTGCCACCCTGAGCCCCAGAGGTCAGGTGCTTGGTACCTGCTGGCCAGCTTGCCCAAGGCCACACCAAGCCTGGCATCCCTGTCCCCACAGCCTGAATGGGAAGGAGCCAATCCCGCCAAGTTTCATGACAGTGGTTCCAACTGTGATGGCATTGGGGACACAGCAGACTGGAGGCCAGTACAGAGGCCACTGTCAGGTGAGGGACATGGTGGCTCAGAGAGATGCTGGGGCCATGAAGGACACTGTGCAAAGTTAGAAGAGCCCTTGGAGAAAGTACAGCCTCAGAAGCTGGGCGACAGAGTAACAGGCATGGACAGCCAACTGTGGCAGGCTCAACTCAAGTCCCAGGGATAGAATGGGGCTCTGAGCCAGGCCTAGGGCTCCCCTACACCTCTGGCCTGTGCCCCAGCATATGTCAAGTCGTCCAGATCTGCGTGTCACTGCCTGTTGACCCCAGGGACAAACTCCAGCTGGCACCTGCCACATACCCTCTGCAGGGCCAGCCGTGGTAGCATTGAGAGGCAGAAAGTTGCAATCTGCTCTACTCCTGCCTTGGCACTCCCACTAATGAGTGCTCAATGGCCCCAAACAAGCAGCACCTCGATTAGATGCGATTTTGGCCCCACCCTGGCTGCTGGCTGCCTCACTAGGAGCCCTGGTATAATGTCACCTGCTCAGGTGGGCAAAGGCCAGGTGGAGATAAGGCCAGAAGGCTCTGATTAATAACAGCATCATTAAATGCCATTTATGGAGCCAGTGATGTGTGCGAGGCCCTGAGCTAAGCATTTTATGGGCATTGCTGCAACCCCCAAGGGTAACAGTTGGAGGCAGGGACTCGGGGCAAGACTGCCTGGCTTCCAACCTCTGTCCAGGGCTTGCTGAGCCTGTGACTCCACCTGGCACCCGCCATGGCTCAGTCTCCTCATCTATCACGAAGAGCCGAGAGAGCCCCTGTACCCTGCACACTTCTTATAAGCATCTGAGAAGCTAACCCAGGGAGGAATGCAGAGAAGGAGTGCTGGAGTGTGTAGTAAAAACCCCCAGAGTTTATATTAACCTGTTAAGAGTAAACTTGCAGCTGCTTCCTAGCACAGAACTGGATGCTGGGCAGGGGGACAGGAGGGAGCAGTTGCAGGCAGGCAGCCCCCTCAGAAACTCAGGGATGCTCCTGGGTATCATGGGCTGTCCCCCGACAACCCCACTGTGTCCTCAAGAGCAGGGGGTCTGTGTAATGGGAGGCTTCTAGCTATGTATGCTGGAATTGGGGTGCAGAGCTAAACATCTTAAGACATGGAAGAAGAGTAGAGGTCTCCTAGCTCTGGGCAGGCTGACTGTGGGGTGCACAAGGGAGCCAGCAACTGCTCAGTGGGGTGGGACGTGTCCCAATCCCCTGGGTGGGCTGTGCCCACAGGCCCTGTTCTACTCTGAGTCTGGAGGCCAAGGCTGAACAGGCAGATGTGTCTCTATTTGTATTCAGGGCTCTCCTGCTCTCCTCCCAGGGGAGGAGCTGGCAGGAGCCCACAAGTTCTAGCAAGGCAGCAGCCACCCCTCTCATTGGGCCCTCAGGTGGAGCTGGGGATGCAGGAGGCGTATCCCACATCTGACAGGTGTGGATGTTCAGGCCTGGAGGAGGGAATCACTTGTCTGGGACTCCTGGTGGATTATCCCATATGACAGCGGCAGTATGGTGAACTACGCAAGTAGGGGAACAAGCTCAGCCTGTGACCCTTCCATGAACTTGTCCTATGTCTCAGGCAGCTGCCCTGAGCCACTTCCTCTGTAGTGCCAGGGGCTAGGCTGTGCCCCACCTCCTAGTGAGGAAGGATTCCAGGGGCCAGGAAAGGGCAGAGCACTGCCTCATACTGGGAGGTACTCAGCAAGCAACACTGGGCACACAGATGGGTCCCCACCTGCCAAGTCAGAAACCAGCAACTGCCCTGGCCCTAGGAGTGGCCCTGATTCCTCCTTGCATATGACAGCATGTGTGGTCATGTTGGGATTGCTCATGTCTGGTTTCCAGGCAGCAGGAAGCTCCAGAGCTGGGCAAAGGGTCTCCAGCTCAGAGTTGGGGTCTTTGTGACCCTACAGACCATCCTCTGCCTGAGGACTTGCTTGATTCCCACAGGGATACAGACAGAGCTATGGACCCCTTCCAACAATGGCTAGGTCCATGAACTTACCTGCCATAGAATAAGATGGTTTCAGGCTTGATGGCTCCATCCAGGTGGACATGCAGCTCCACCTGCAAGAGGGTAGAGGAGAAAGAAACACCCATGGGTGCCTGGGCACCTGTCGGAGTCTGGATGCCAACATTCAGCCTTCCCTGGATACACACCATCCACGCACATCTCGCTTTGCTGCTGTCACCTGCTCAGTGGTCTAGTCCTCACCTGCAGGGTAGGCTCAGTGGGGACCTCTCACAGTAGAGGACTCTGGTATTCAGAGGTTAAATATTTGCCCAGGGTCAAGTAGCAAGCAGGCAACAGAAGCAAAACCCCATCCCGGGAATTATGTCCCTAACCATAGCTGGGGAGTAGCAGAAACAGAATTCTAATCCAGGCCCCAATCCAAAGCTTGTGCTCTTTTTGAAAGATGATTTAATTTAGGGGCCAGTGCTGTGATGCAGCAGATAATGCCTCACACTGCCTGCAGAGTCAGCATCCCATATGGACACTGGTTCAAGTCCTGGCTGCTCCACTTCTGACCCACCTTCTTGATAAAATACCTGGCGAGGCAGCAGAGGATGGCCCATGTGTTTGGACCTCTGGACCACATGGGAGACCTAGGTGAAGTTCTGAATTCCTAGCTTTGGCCTGGCCCAGCCTAGACCCACTCAGGCCATTGCAGCCATTTAGGGAGTGAACAAACAGAACTAATGGATGGAAGATCTGTGTAACTTTCAAATAGTTTTTTTTTTAATTAATTTATTTATATTACAAAGTCAGATATACAGAAAGGAAGAGAGACAGAGAGGAGGATCTTCTGTCCGATGATTCACTCCCCAAGTTGAGTGCAACAGTCGGTGCTGTGCCGATCTGAAGCCGGGAACCAGGAACCTCTTCCAGGTCTCCCACGCGGGCGCAGGGTCCCAAGGCTTTGAGCCGTCCTCTACTGCTTTCCCAGGCCACAGGCAGGGAGCTGGATGGGAAATGGAGCTGCTGGGATTAGAACCAGCACCCATATGGGATCCCGGTGCATTCAAGATGAGGACTTAAGCCGCTAGGCCACGCCGCCGGGCCCATTTCAAATAGTTAAATAAAAAGATTTATTTTATTTGAAAGTCAGAGAAAGATCTTTCATCCACTGGTTCACTCCCCAAACGGCCATAATGGCTGGGGCTGGGCCAGGCCAAAGCTAGGAACCCAGAACTTCATCTGGGTCTCCCACATGGATGCAGAAACCCAAGCACTGGAGCCATTTTCTGCTGTCTCCTCAGTCATATTAGGATCACAAGTGGGGCAGCCACGGCTTGACCCAGCATCATCATATGGGATGCTGGCCCTACAGGCAGCAGGTTAACTCAATTAACAACACTAGCCCTTGGGTTCTGCTTTTAATCATGAGGCCAGCCAGGGCCTATGGAACGTCTAAGCCCTGGCCACCATCTAGGTACCTCCTGCACTTGGCCACTTTGCTAAACAAAATCCAACTTTTGAGGGTTTTTTTTTTTTTTTGGCAGTGCCAATATGGTAACATAACATATTAATCCTCCACTTGCAACACAAGCTTCCCATATAGGCACTGATTCACTGCTGTACTTCTCATCCAGCTCCCTGCTTATGGCCTGGAAAAGCAAAGAGGGATAGGTGGCTCAAATGTCTGGAATCCCTGCATCCATGTGGGAGACCCAGAAGAAACTGCTGGCTTCAGACTGGCTCTGCTCTGGCTGTTGTGGCCATTTGGGAAGTGAACCAGTGGATGGAAGACTTCTCTGACTCACCTCCTTTCTGTAGCTCTGCCTTCTAAATAAAAGCAATACGAATATTTTTAAGAGTAGGAATTTTATAGACAGCCCATCTGATGGAACTTCCTGCTCTGCCCCTCTTCAGGCTGTGCAACTTCAGACAAGACACTTGACTTCTTTGAGTCTCAGCTTCCTCTACTGAAAAACTGGCATATTTTGCCTCTATAACCAGAAATAATTGTAGGAATTAAGAAAGCCGGGGCTCCTGCAATGCCTGGGATGGAGTCCCGGTGCTGCTCCCAACAGCAGCTTCCTTCTGACACACCCACAGGCAGGGAGCAAGTGAGGACTCCACTCCCCTGTCACCCACATTTGAAGCATGCCGAGTTTCTAACTTCAACTGTCATTGTTGTATTTGAGGAGTAAACCAACAGATGGGAGATATATTTGTCTCTCAAAAACTAAACCAGAAACTTTGCATGACAGTGCAGGTGCACATCTGTGGCTTCAGGGTAAACAGCTTCTGCCATGTGCATTTACCTTGGCCAATAGATGTCCAGGAGGTACCAGACAGGGGACAAGGGGACTTGGCCATTTGTGTGTTCCAGGTCATGGGGAACTTTTCAGGCCTAGGGGAGCACTGGGACTCCCAAACTTGGAGGCCTGGAGAAGAAATGGGCAAGGTCAGCCAAGAGGCTGCCGGTCCCAGAGCATCATCACATCCCGGTTCCATCACTGCATAACACGAGCTGCTTCCTGCAGAGGGAGCTGGGGAGGGGACGGGGAACAGCCTGGCCAGTGACAGACAGGCCCACGTACCCACCACCCGCCAGACCTCAAAGGAATCTGCTTTCTCCAGAGGTGTGCCAAGGGCAGCAAGCACTGAGGTCAAGCCCTCCCCTTGGCAAGGCCTCAGAGGAGACCGAGTCCTCCAGCTTGCCCTGGGCAGGGCAGCACACACCCCTGGGCCCAAAGCCAACGTGGTGTTCGGGTCTCCTGACAAAGCAAGTTCACTTCCCGCTGGGCTAGAGCCTTAGTGACACTGCCTGCCAGCCCAGGGTCCCACCAAGCAGTGGGGTCACTTCGTGGCAAGGCACCTCCCCTCCTGGAGCCTCTGTCTTCTTAACCTTAACCCTTACAGGGCTGGAGAGGGGATTGAGCACGAGAGGCAGGGTTGTGCCATGGTTAGAGAGACACAGTCAGAATCCTGCATATAACCAAGTCCACTCCCCTGGATACCTATGATCCAACCCAGGGAGAGGTGTCGGCCATTCTCATGGCAGCCAATGTACAGTCACCAACACAGCCCTGCCGAAGAGGGCGAGAAAAGAGAACAGACCAGCAAGGACTATAAGCTGAAGGGCAGGAAGACCCAATGGGGTGTGGCAGGGGTAGGGAGACAGGTGGGAATAGCATGTGCCAAGGCCATGTGGCAGGACAAAGCAGCTGCTCCAAGCCAGGGAGGCTGCAGGGCAGGACGCCCCAGGCAGAGCCTCGTGGCCTCAAGGGATCAGACCTGATCAGCCCAGCCCTTCTGGGAGAAGAGGGCCCACAGCAAGATGATTCAGAGGGCACTGCAGTCACATGCACCAGAGATGACCATGGCTGGGACAAGGGACAAACAGGTGGAGGGACAGAAATGCAAGGCTGGCGCTTAAAAGTTCAGCCTGGGCTGGGGTGCGGTGGTTCCCACAGTCCAGGAAAGCAATGCTTAGGAGAGGGGTCGGTGTGGGAAATGAAGCACAGGTGGCTTTGGTTTCAGCATCAATGACAAAAGTTCTGGGACTCTATAAATGGACAGGGGCAGTGGGATGCCAGCGTCCATGAGGATATGGAAGGCAACAACAGTGGGGCCATGAATGAATCCCTAAGGGAGAAGGTGTCCAGGGAGGGACCTGGGCTGAAGCTGCATCGGTATCACACTCAGTGACTGGACAGGTGGCAGGGACAGCGCTGTGGTGTGCAGCAGGCAGCAGCCCATTAGCTGGAGTTCTGGACAGAACTGTAGCTCCACAAGCTGCCTATATCCCAATCCCAGAAACGTCACTTTCTATGGCTATCAAATATCCTGGAAGTAGCATTCATTCATTCAGGGGTCAGAGGCATCCTCAAGGGACTGAGATGCAGCCCTACACCCTACAAAGCAGCAACATGATTCCTGCGGGGACAGGGCCTCAAAAGCTGCCGCAAGAGGCCAGCTGTGAACTCCCCCAGCCCCACCCTGCCCTGGGAACCGGCAGTGGTTTCACAGCCCCGCTGGTGCCTTGACTTTGGACTCCCAGCCTGCAGAGTCTGGAGGAAATGGGAGGACCTCCCAGTATGTGGTCACAACCTCAACACCACAGGAAACACACAGGCCCTGCTGGAGGTCAAGGGCAGCAAAACCCAAGCCAGGACCCATGGACATGGGAGGAGCAATCAGAGATCATTTGCCCCGGGGCAAACGGGGGTTCCTCCACCCACCCTGCAGCTCAGTTCAATCCTAGGGACTGGTCCAGGCAGAGTCTTTTTTAACCCTTTCTGTATGTGCTAAAGTTTATAAAATAACCTTGAGCAAGCCTTTGGAGGCCTGCAATGGGAGGCATGGAATAAGATGGCAGACAAGTCACAGGTAAGACGTGAAATTCCACCTGCAGGGGACCTCAGCAGTGTGGATGGGCAGGGCGGATGCAGGTGGAATGTGAAGTCTCCTGAAGGCAGGAGACTGAGCCTCTAGAGACTGGTGGGGAGGGGCATGCTGAGAGCAGGGTACCAGGTTACTGAAAAGGGCGGGGGAATCAGAGGTAAAGCAGACCTGGCCCTGGAGCCCTGGTGAGCAGGAAGTGGGCAACAGCATCATGGAAGGCACCTGGCACCCTTGCAGGTGGAATGTGCCTGGCTACTTCTGGCTGAAGCATCCAGATGCCAGTCAGAGCCCCAGAGCATGTTCTTCATAGGCAAGACAGGGTAGGGAGGGACCAGTGTCACCCCCAGCATGGGGCAACCTCTCCTGCCCCACGATGCACACACACTTTCCAGAGCTCAGCGTCAGACCCAGGACACAGGGAGATGGGGTACAACTGAGAATGGGTGTGCAGAAGAGCAGGCAGGCACCAGCAGCAAGGAGGCAGCAGGTATGCAGCAGAGTTCCAGGCAGTGGGAACTGCAGGTGCCACACCTTCTGCATGAGGGATCAGCTGGGGCAGAGAGCTGAGGCCGGAGAAGGGCAGGGAGATGTCACAGGCCATGGTGTCCGGGATTTCCATGGAAACATTAGACACAAGGCAGCCACCTTGGAAACGACTTTGCCGGCTGCTCTGTGGGCATAGGTTGGCAGGCAGCCAGGACAGGAGGTGGAG